TTTGCTGGTTTATGCTGGTCCTTTGCTGGTTTAAGATGGTCCTTTGCTGGTTTAAGCTGGTTCTTTGCTGGTTTAAGATGGTCCTTTGCTGGTTTATGCTGGTCCTTTTGCTGGTTTATGCTGGTCCTTTGCCAGCACATGACCAGCATAAACCAGCAAAGGACCAGCATAAACCAGCATCCCAGCGTCAAAACATACCTAACCAGCATATGCTGTTTTTTTCAACAGGATCAAGATCAGACGCGATGTTTTTGCTTTAAAAAGCTTTTTGGAAGTTCGGATAAAATGTCACTACAAGCTTACAGATATATCAGTGAAACAGGTGTCGTGTGAAATCGCCTTAATAATGGCTCGACACACACTAAAAAGAGCAGAAATAGAATGCGCGGGAACGGCCCGCCGCTTTTAAACCAATCAGAAATGCCAATCATTTTTGCGCGCCAGAAACTGGCGGGAAATTATAATTTAAGTGCAGAGGCACCTGAGGGGCAGCAGTTTATTAGGTTTAAAGTTATATACATACTTCAATTTATATAATAAACATAAATATAAGTAGAATTCTTGTTGAAAACAATGCAAAGTTGTATGTAGAACCAAATTTTTAGGCGTTCGGAAGAAAATGTGAGTAGTGCTTTCACCGGTACCAAACAAGAACGGTCTTAATGCTATGTGTGGATTTAACGCGTTCCCTTACCAAAATCAATCATGGTTTTATTATAGTAATTAGACTAAAATATAAATAAATTAGTAACCATATAGTAGTACCATTTTGGGGGTTTTTGAATAATCAAAGTTTTACTGCAATGCCATGGTTAAACGATGGTCAGTGTAGCAAAGCCACGGTTATTTTGTGGTTACCATGATTTATCTATATTAATCATGTGTTTTTGGTTTTATTTGTAGAAAAACAGTGGTAATTTTCGTGAAAGGTTGCTAAGGTGTTCTGGGGGATTTAGCTGTGCTAAACGGCTGCTGTGGCATTCTGAGTGATTTTTAGCGCGTTGCTAAACAGTTACTGAGTTCAGAGTGTTTTATTACGGTTTCTATGGGTGTTCTGAGCGAATTTCAACACGTTGCTAACGTTTCAAGGTGTTCTGAGGGTTTTACTGCGTTGCTAATAGGTTGCTGTGGTGTTCTGAGTGTTATCGTTTGCTAAAATGTTTTTCTTTTTCATCATTTTGTTTTTTTAGTGCTGCTAAACAGTTACTGAGTTCTGCGTGGTTTTGTTAAACAGTTTCTATGGTGTTTTGACTGAATTTCAACACATTGTGGAAGTGTTGCGAGGTGTTCTGCGTGTTATCATTTCAGCGCGTTGCTAAACCGTTGCTGTGGTGTTTTAAATGGGTTTAGGGCGTTGCTATGGCGTTCTGTGGGGGGTTTACGGCGTTGCCACAGTGTTTTGAGTGGTTTCAGTGCGTTGCCAAGTTGCAATGGCGTTCTGAGTGCGGTGTTTTGGACGGGTGCCAGGGCATTGCTATGCAGTTGCTGGGTTTTCTGAAAGGTTTCTAGAGCATTGTTAGGTGGTTGCTGATGAGCCCAAGTGAAATTTGTAAATGCGAAATTATTAGGGCTGCAAAACAATTAATCGCATTCAAAATAAAAGTTTAACATACTATGTGTAAACTGTACATTATGTGTATAAACACACACACATATATGTATATATAAAAAAAATATTTGTATGTAATAAATAATAAATATATATATATACTTATAATTTATATACATTTTATATATAAATGTAAAATTTTTCCTTAATATATACATGCATGTGTGCTTTTATATATACATAGTAAATATACACAATACACACACATAGTATGTAAACAAACTTTATTTTGAATGTGATTCATCCTTTGTGGGGAAGTCGTGGCCTAATGGTTAGAGAGTCGGACTCGTAACCCAAAGGTTGCGGGTTCGAGTCTCGTACCGGCAGGGGTTGTAGGGGGGGGGGGTGAATATACCGCGCTCTCTTCCACCATCAATACCACGACTGAGGTGCCCTTGAGCAAGGCACCGAACCCCCAACTGCTCCCCGGGCGCCGCAGCATAAATGGCTGCCCACTGCTCCGGGTGTGTGTTCACGGTTTGTGTGTGTTCACTGCTGTGTGTGTGCACTTTGGATGGGTAAATGCAGAGCACTAATTCTGAGTATGGGTCACCATACTTGGCCACATGTCACTTCACTTCACTTCTTTTGCAGCCCTATAGTAGCCTATATTTATATTGTCATTTT